CAACTAAATGCAGCAACATTTTTTAGAGTTTTGCTGTCAATCTCATGAGCCAGTAGCCTGCATAATGTAAATAATACACCTGAGGAATTACAGGGATTACAAGATCTTACAAACTGATGAGATTGTAAATAGAAGTTGCATTGGCTTTATTGCAGTTAACTTTATTTCTGAGAGTGTGGCTCGCCAATTCTTCCCTCGTGTCCTACAATTAGCAAAGACTACATAGATCTTTGTCATAGATCTTCCCAGTACTATGTGCTTGAAGAGCTGGACAAAACCTTAGTTGCATGCTAGTCTAAAAAAATGTAGGTGATTTGTATCTCAGAGACATTCTAGGTTGAAAAGATGGCCATGGCCCCTAGAACCTAGAATTCCACCATTTCTCATTCTCATTCACTAACTACTGCCACTGCTTCACAACTCTTCACCTATTTTAAGATTTCAGGTAAATTCTTCCTTTATTCAGCTAGAAAGTAAGCTCAACAAGAGCAGCTACATCATCTCGTTCCCTGCTGCATCCTTAACACCAAAGAAAGTGACTGGCCAGTTATCTATTGCACTTCTTCCATGTACTGGACAGTGAATAGATTGGTGGGCAAAAGGGAGTATCCAAAAATACATTAAAATTATTAGACAGCATCCTGTTAATCAAGGAGCCTATGTAAGCAAGAAGAACTAGAAGGAGGTTCTCTAACTGTTGAATAAATACAGAAAAATGCCTTATTTCCAAATAGAAAACCAATATTGTAAACATGTTAATTATTCCTTTTGTTTAATGCAATTCCAATCAATATCTGATTGGATTTGTCTTTTTAACTTATCAACATTATTCTAGGGATCTACTCAAGAGACATGTAAACAAATTTTCACATAAATATTCAATGTTATGAATATTGTAAGTGAATATTCATAACAGCATTATTCATGGTAGCTTTAAAAAGTAGAACCAACTCAAATACCCATCAACTAGTGAATGAATCATCAAATGTGACACATCCATGCAATGGAATGTTACTCAACAATAAAAAGAAATGGATTATGATTACTTGCCACAACATGGATGATTTCAAAAGCATTATGCTCAGTGAAATAAACCAGTCACAAAAAACTACATATTGGAATGTATCAATCCGTTTGTAGTAAAAGTCTAGAAAAGGCAAATCCAGAGAGACAGAACTAGATTAGTAGTTGCCTGGGGGTTGGGATGGGATTGAGGAGTGACTGCAAGTGTGCACAAAGGGTTCTTCTCCATTTTTTTTTTTTTTTTTTTGGTGGGAGGAGTGATGAAAATGTTCTAAAATGAAACCATGATGATGGTTACACAAGTCTTTAAATATACCAAAGTCCATTGAATTGTATACTTCAAACTGATGAATTTTATGCTATGTAAATCATGTCTCAACAAAGTAAAATAGAATATTTTAAAGTTTATGTGTAAGAATAGAGAGGTATGAGGAGCCAAGGTACTTTTAGAGAAAAAAAAAGTAGTGATGGGATACTAATTATTACCTTTGGGAAAAGTCTTAGAAGGAGAATTTCTGGATTAAAGGTGTACACAAAATGAATAATAACAGTAATTGAATAAAATAACAATCCATGAGTCCACATTGATAGAGTTAGGGTAGGTTCCTGGCCAACAGATAAAACGGATTCTCCGTAACCAGCAGAGGTGCTCAAAGTTAAAACAGAACCAGGCAGCCATGGCTGGATGAGCGGGTGGTGTCATATAGTCAGTGTTCTCAGAAAAGTGTTGCAAAAGTGTTGCAGGACCTCCCTTTGTATGATCAAGCCAAACCAGTTTCTGGTGGTGCCTAGAAAAACTGTGGCCAGAAACAGCCTCTCCCCACCACCCAGCCAAAGAACTATCTGACAGAGACTTCTAGTTTGGGGCTTGGAAGCCACCCAATCCGATTTGAACAAGTTTAAATCCTTCATTTGCATAAGTGGACCTGATTGAGAATTGGGGTGAGAAACATTCCCTGTTTAAGCCAGACTCTTCCTTTGTTCTTAGGAGAGCACATTTTCACTTATATTGAAAGCTGTGCCTCCCCAGTCTGCAGATGTTTTTTAAGAAAATACAACTGTCTGTCTTCCACAGTCTTTTTTTTTCCCAGTAATAATGAACAAACCAATCTAGACAAAAAAAACTCACAGCTTAAACAAATAACCCAAAATGAATCAGTTTAAAAACAAAATAAGACTATAAAATGTTTAGAACATGGGAAAAAAATCTGTGGGACATGGGGTTTGATGAGGAGTTCTTTAACATGACACCAAAAGCACAATCCATAAATGAAAAAAATAATCGTTAAGTTGAGCCTTATCAAAATTTAAAATATTTGCCTTGCAGGAGACTCTGTTAAAAGAATCAAAAGATAAGTTATAGACAGTGAGAAAATATTTGTAAACCACATATCTGACTCTTATTTAGAATATACAAAGAGATGTTAAAACTCAACAGTAAAAGAAAAAAAATCTGATAGGAAAATGTGCTATAAAATGAACATTTTATCAAAGAGGATTTATGGATGACACATAAGTCTATAAAAAGATGTTCAACATCACTAGCCATTAGGAAACTGCAAATTAAGATGTTGACAAGCTATTTCTATACTCCCATTAGAACAGCAAAAGAGAAAACTGAGGTTCATGGAAGTTAAATAATTTACCCAAGGTCACAGCTAACAAATTGGTAGAGTCAGAATTTGAACGTAAGCAGCCAAACTCTAGAGAACACACTGTTAACAACTGAAGTATATTCCCTTGTTTCCTATAAAAATAATTAGACATGCAAAAATTTACATACATTGATGTCCATCATTACTTTCTTAAAAATGGTGAAAACTAGAAACACTTCAATTTTGAAAAGTAGAGAATTGGTTAGATCATATATAAGCGATCCATCTCTATCCATCTGTTGTATGAAAAAATCTGCATCCATTAAAAACAATGCTGTAGAGTTAAGGTCAGCAAACTTTTTCTGCAAAACAGACAGTAACTGTTTTAGGCTTTGCCCACCCTACGGTCTCTATCAGAATATTCAACTCTGACACTGTAGTGCAAAAGCAGCCATGGACAATGTGTAAGAATGAGTGATGTGTGGGTGTGTTTCAATACGTTTATTTGCAAAAACAGGCAATGGGATGGCTTTGCCTTTTAGGTCATAGTTTTCTGATGTCTTCTGTAGAGTAACTGCGTATAATGTTGACATGAAATGTTCATGATGTACTAAGGGAAAAAGAACATTAGAATTAAAAAAATGTATAACTCAAATGTAAATGATTTTGGAAATTGGAAACTGATAGGTGTGTGCAACAGATACTGCTGTTTGGCTACCTAAAAGTTGCTGCTAAACCTTTCCTTATCTTCTACTCTAGAGGCTGGGAAGCCAGATATCCACATTATCCCGCATGACATCACTGAGCTCTGTGGCCCAGTTCTGACTGCATGTTGGAAGCAGAAGTCTGCAAGGGATGGCTTCTGAGAAAGCTTTTATTTATTTAAATTTAAATAAAAGGATACCTTCTAGCCTGGGAATAAATTCCAGCTTGCTTAGAATAATACAGCATAGAAAAGAACCTCAGTTCCTGGTGCATCCCTGAGCCAGTGTCTCAATCCTGCCCTACCGATTTCCAATTCCTTATTATGTGAGAAGCAACCCTCCCTTCTTTGATTAGGTCATTATTGGTAGGTTTTTTGTTGGTAACTTGCGTCCAAAGGCATTCCTTAACTCAAACAAAATAGAAGGGAAATTCCACATTCACAGTGTTGCCTCAGACGAGCTCTGGCTTCTCAGAACTTCAGTTTTCTATTTGCTGGAGCTCAGAATCAAAGAGACAGTAAAGAAACCCATTTAAAAATTGCATGGCACGTATTTCTTCTGTGATGGGACTTCATGGATAATATTTTTATTTTTATTTATTTATTTATTTTTTCTTTTGAGACAGAGTCTTGCTCTGTCTCCCAGGCTGGAGTGCAGTGGCGCAATCTCGGCTCACTGCAAGCTCTGCCTTCCACGTTCATGGCATTCTACTGCCTCAGCCTCCCGGGTAGCTGGGACTACAGGCGCCGGCCACCACGCCCCACTAATATTTGTATTTTTAGTAGAGACAGGGTTTCACCATGTTAGCCAGGATGGTCTCTATCTCCTGACCTCATGATCTGCCTGTCTCGGCCTCCCAAAGTGCTGGGATTAAAGTCATGAGCCACCGTGCCCAGCCCATGGGTAATATTTTTAAAATTTCTTTTCTTTGTGTATTTTTCTTTTATTGTCAAACATTATTAAAGAGGCCATAGATACGTTTTGTAATTATAATAAAAAAGAAAATATTACTAAGAACAGTGAGAACTCTTAAGCTAACCACAAGATAATAAATATATAACTACAAAATATAAAATACCAAAGCCATTTACAAATAAAGAAATGGAGCCACATGAAACTTTGCAGTTTAGCCAAAGTCATTTAAGGATTCTGAAGCTGGAGAGGAAGCAAGGCTTACTTAACCCCGTGGCTAGAACTTACTTTTGAAAACTCCATTTTTGTCCATTCCCTCTTATCACTACTTGCTTGCAAGTTAGGAAACAGATTAGAACAAAAGCATTATTTGTCGTCAGTGGTCAATGTTCATTGCTTACCAGAGGCTCGGGATTAGAAGATTCTCAGAACCAGTTAGCTCCTGATACAATCAGGCCTTGATATGGTTTGGATTTGTGTCCCCAACCCAAATCTCACGTCGAATTGGAGGAGGGGCTTGGTGGGAGGTGATTGGATCATGGGGGCGGATTTCCCTCTTGCTGTTCTCATGATAGTGACTGAGTTCTCAAAGATCTTATGGCTTAAAAGTTGTGTGGCCCTTCCCTGTTCACTCTTTCTCCCTCTCTCCTGCTGCCATGTGAAGAAGGTGCCTGCTTTCGCTTCGCTTTCTGCCATGATTGTAAGTTTCCTAAGGCCTCCCAGTCACGCTTCCTGTCAAGCCTGCAGAGCTGTGAGTCAATTAAATCTCTTTTCTATATAAATAACCCAGTCTCAGGTAGTTCTTTATAGTAGTGTAAGAACGGACTAATACAGGCCTGAAAAAGTTACCATCTAAAAGCCACTTGAATTATTTCTGGGAATAGACTGAGGTACTTTCTGTTCTAAAATTCTTGACTTTTGTTACCCAGCCAAACGAGGGCCTGCTTGCCCAGTGCAGTAAGGCCAAACATGCACACTGAGTTTATGCAGTGGGAGAAAAGAGGGTGTTTTATTTGCAGAGTGCCAAGCAAGGAGAATACAGCAGCAGCTCACACTGAAGACTGAAACTCCCCAGTGGCTTGCAGGTAAGGCTTTTTAACAAAAGGGGTAAATTTCAGGAAAACAGAAGTTATAGGCAAAATCATAAATGAATATATGGAGGTTATACATTGGTTTGGCCTAAAAAGGCAGAATATCTTGAAGTGGGGGCTTACAGGTCATACACAGATTCAAAGATTTTCTGATTTGCAATTGGTTAAAGAAGGGAAGCTTTGTCGTAAAGACTTGGAATCAGCAGAAAAGAATATGAGATCAGGCTCGTGGTTGTGACTTCCTCCACGCCCCTCAGAAAGAAACTTCAAACAACGCATGGCAGTCAGAGTTCAGTCCTTAGCACCCCCTCATCTGAGGTCTCTGTGCCAGTGGGTCCATTTGGTGGGAGTCTGCATTTCTGAAAAACAACTCAGGGACATACATTACGACCTTATCTTTACTTTCTACAGGGAACCAATATCTCATGATTCTAGCTTCCTTGGCTATCATTTTAAGCTACTGTTACCTTCTTGCTTATCAAGTTGCTCATTTACTTCTCAGGAATATCTAGGTGCCTGGACTTTCCCTTGAAGGAACTCAAGATTTTCCTTTGAAAGCAGGGGTCCCTGCTTCATCTCAGTTTCATGATAAAAGAATCGAAGATAACAAATATACACCACGAATATAACCTCAGTACCAAGCTTAGCATGAAGCGGGGATTCAAAAATAATAATTAACAGTGTCATCTACTAAAACAAAAGTTTTCGAAACAATTATGGATTCATCCATAATTCCAGTATATCTTTTTTTTTTTTTTAAAGTATTTTATACTCCTGTTCTATGGAGTTCTTTTCATAGCTTAGTTTTCTTCAAATCATTATTATTTCTCCTTCCTGTTTTCTTCAGTTTCAGTGCCAGTTAAAAGAAGTTGTACTCTAGCTAGTTTTATTTTTTAAGTAGATGCAGAGCTGAATTTTTGCCTCAGGATATATTTTCCAAATTCTTCTCCACCTCCTCAGTTTCCATCTCTTGTTAAAAGCACCTCCATCAACCCTCACTTAGACACTGCCTACTTGGGGGTTTGTCTTACCTTTGCATTGATTGCATGATTCCTGAGGACAAGGATTCTGAGCTCTCTCAGAGGGCAAAGTACCTTGAGTTTGTTGCTTGTCTTAGGCAACATTTTAAAGTAGGAGAATATAGAGCTCTCCTCTAAGGTCTGCAGCCTTCCAGGTTTTACCCCATAATTCTAAAACAAGAATAGTAAAAAGCCCACCTCTCATCCACTTGGGTCTGGTGTCATCTAGGTAATTGGATCAATTAATGACATTAAGAGGAATCTTCTGGAAGCTGCTCCTAGAAGACTTGCCAAGCTCTCCCACAGACAATGGCCTCTGCCTTCTCTCTCTGTTTTCTAACCCCCAAGTGACTCAAGGGATCTGAATTTCAGAGTGAGTAGCGGTGGGGTCAGGCTGGTGGGGAACCTATTTGAAATGTTTACACAAGCTTCCTGCCCAATGGGTCAAAATAGCCATTTGAATTTTTTGGCAAAAAAAATTTCTGTATGCCTAAAAGATGCCAGATGGAGAAGGAAGTGGTGTGTTTAGTCACAGGAGGGATACTGCATGGATAATAGGTTCTCTACACGCTTTTTGTCAACGTCAACATCAGCTTGTCAGTTTGTTAGGACAATCTTACATAAGAATAATTCTCAGCATTCATCAACTGCTGAGACCTTCCCAAACCTAATTTTATTCTCAAGACAAACCTGTCAATGAGGTTTTATTAATTGTTTCCATCATACACATGGAGAAATTGAGGCAGAAGTTTAGAGAGAAAAACATGGTCAGAGCGGTAAGAGAATTAGCCCAGGGGACAGTCTCTATAGTTCTTCGCTCTGAATTTGTTACAGAAATACTATTTATAAATCATTTGAAATGGTGATAGCACCGAGCCCACCATTTCAATCCAGAAACAGCCTCTATGTTGCAACTCCGTTTATTTTTCACTGGCCAGAGGTAGTGCTGAGGTAGCAATTGTAAAGGTGAGAAGTCACAACTTCTATTACGGATCTCTAGGGATACCTACTGAAGACTTGCCTGAGAGCTTATCCTCCCACCATTGTTGAGAAGTGCTCTCTCCTTCCTGGCTGTGAGCCACTTCCCAGAGGAGTTCCTGCTTCTCTGTTTAGAAATCGCAGAGTGGGCGTGGGCGTGCCATGTTTCTTGAGTTGCCTAAGACCCGAAAGGTTATTTTTAAAAATGTAAATATACACCCAAACTCATTGAAATAATGGTAATGGGAAGATCGGGCTGAAGACCGTGATTGAGAAATGCACGTTACCATGGTAATAACAGGGTGGGCAAGGCTAACTCTGGCCCTTACACATTTATTTTAAACCAGTAGTTTTCAAATGGTAGCGTGCATCGGCATACCCTGGAGGGCTTGTTAAGATACAAGTTACCAGACCCACCCCCAGACTTTCTAATTTAGTAGATCTGGAGTGGGCCTTATAATTTGCATTTCTAACCAGGTCCCAGGTCTAGCCCTAGGGCCAAATCCATGTTTTCACCTGTTTTTGTAAGGTCTGCAAGTTAATAATAGTTTTTACAGATGAACCTTTGCAAATTATTCCATGATAGGCAACACTAACTTTGAACCCCAATTAAGCAAAATTCTGTCCCCTCTCACAATTACATTCTTTTCATTAGTAGACTTGCATTACACAAACATTGTACCCAGTATTATAGTTTGAATTTCATCAATGAAAACTTATTGGAATTTCGTTTGTCTCCCTTGTTATATAATAAATACCCAGATAAGATGCTCAGTTTTGTTTTTTGGCTCACAAAGCCTAAAGTATTCATTCTCTAGACCTTTAAAGAAAAAAATTGCAGACCCCTGGCCTAGCTGATGCTGCTGATCTGGGGATGACTTTGAGAAGCACGTAAACCATTTGCTAAGCTATGTGTAGTAAACCCTCCTTCCACTGATTTAATACAATTCCATGGGCCCAACTGTCCTGGATTATCACACAATGCCGAGAGAGAGGCACCACCCCTCAACCTACATTCTTCCCCTCCAGGGAGCCAAGCTGCGGAGTCTAAAAACACGAGGCGGTGCCTCAGTGTAGAGAAAGGAGATTCCCAAAACTCTAGTGGGCACAGTTGTAAGGGAAGTAACATTTGTTCTGGGTGTTGTCCCACCTCTCATTCTAAGCTGTTCCCATCCCAGATGCTGGGGACTCTGGGGATTCTCTGACTCTGCAATGTCCCCAACTCCTGCTCTGCAGACAGACCTGCCCCATTGCATCTGCAGCTAGCTCTGCAATCATGCCCCAAGTAAATGCTGGGTAAGCAATCTGACTATAATCTTTAGAATTTATAAGTCTGTGATTTATATCAAATATTCGTGGTGTATATGACAGCTTCCTTTGTCATATGATATAGAAATGTCTGTTACAGTATTATATAGAAATTAGTGCACTGAAAAAAAAAAGGTTACTTTTTTAAAAACCTTGACTATTTTTGTCCCCACTCTTTAATTCTGCTGTCATTAGGAGATTCTCAATATTAAAAAGTGCTCAAAACAAGGTATTCTGTTGTAGCTTGTCTTGAAGAAGTACCACCTGTCTTCTGCCTACTAATGAAAACTGGACTTTTCTGAGGAAAGCTCTGTCATCTGGAATCTTCTGGCCAGTGGATGAGCCAGCTCAGGGCCTCTTCTCTGCATCTTCTTTGGGCTCGGATTGTGGGAAGCCCTGGGGAAAGCAGAATGATCTAACAACAGGATAAAGATTGCTTTTGTTATCATGTCCCATGGCTAAAAATTACCCACTGCTTTTCCTTCTGAAACTGGGACCCTCAACTTGGAATCTCTGGTTATTAATAAAGTCCCGAGAGAGAGCAATAGAGTGTTGGTTAGGACCTCAAGCATCAGCAGACCTAAATCTGAGTTGTCACTTTATCGCTAACCGTGAGAGCTTGGGCACAATGCTTGCCATCTCTTCACACCATCCGCTCACATGTGCAATGGTGTAAAAATCACAACTACTCAGAGGTAGTTGTAAGGATGAAAATAGATGATGTGCAAAGTCCATAGAACAGTATGTGGCATGCAGCTTAGTGAGGGCTCCACAAATTGTAGGTTTGGTATTATTTTGCATAAGCACTCTATTAAGCAGAATAAGCAGAAGCTGACCGTGAATATATCTGAGCTACCCACTAGATTTATTCATCCATTGTCTTATTCATTTATTCATTTGATAAATACTTTTGAACACCTATTGTAAGCCAAGCACCTTCTGGGATTTGGGAATACAGTGTGACCAAGCCAGGTGAGATCCCAGCCTTCTCAGAGCTCATTTTGGTAAACTCTGAACTCCTAGAGAGGGAGATCCCATCCCTGTATCTCATGTAGAGCCTAGCACAGCAGTTAACCCAGAAGAGATCCTTTCAAAATGCTGTTAAAGAGTGACTGGGTAAGTGACATGCCTAAAAAGTAGGAGAAAAGTCAGGTGTGGTTGCTTCCCCTCTGCTGTTACTGGGACTCAGCTACCGTTAGGAGTAGCCCCTCTGATACACGCAGCTGGACCAAGACCAGAGCTGACCATCGTGACTTCTGTGCTAGGAACTCCTTCCCAGCAAGCACAGAAGGAGAGTGCTGGGTCCTGGATAGATGCCGGTCACCCCAAAAATGGTCTTCATCTTAATTGCAGTATGTAATTCTGCACTAGGTTCCAAGTGGCAGCCACACTGAGGTTGTTTTCTCACATAACTCAATGTTCTTTTCATTGCCATGGTATACGAGCAAACTGTTCAGCTGTGAGTGAGTTCAGGGGAAGGAAATATAAGATTAGGCTGCCATGCATACTGAAAGGCAGAAAAGCTTCCATATTATGGAGCAATAAATTAAGGAATAATCACAAAAATGTTACAGATAATTCACACCAAGCACCTACTTACAGTTACTTTATTATTTTAGATTATATTCATGATTATTATTTAATGTGTTTTTAATATGAACGTACAGCTTTATGTAATACTTTTGTAACTGAGAAGGAATTAGAGGTCCAAGTGCTCTGAAATACTTTCTTTTTTTCAATTACCCAACATTTAGAAGACTCCTGTTTTACAGCTGATGCCAATTATTCACATAGACATACACTTTTTATCTCTTTATTGCATGTAGGGGTAACTAAAATCTATCAGATTTAAATTTTAGGTTTTATGGCAAAAGTCATATTTCTATTTCTGCATGAGTCTAACTAATGCTCATGGATCCACAGTCCCTACCAGAGGAATTCGTCAGTAGTCAGTCAACAAATACTCCTTGGGAAGTCGCCTTGTACAAGGTATGAGAATGGAGCCTTGGAGCTAGGTACACAAAAGATCACAGAGCTTTGTCCTTGATCTCTAGACACTTTTAGTTTTGTTTGGAAAATAAGACATATAGGCATGGGATGACAATTAAAAATATAAGGCAATAAATGTTGAATGTCAAATGATAGCATCAGAAACAGTTGCTGTAGAAGTCCACAGGCAACAGCAGTCTGGGGTCACATTTGGTTGTGGAAGCCTTGCCCACTGAATGTTGTTTGTTTCACTAAAGATTGCCTGATCAAATGGAAGAACGGTGGGGTAAGTCATATGCCCTTGCTACTTGAGTGTGATTTGAGAGCCAGTGACTGCAGCAACACTTGGGAGCCTGTTAGATCTGCAGAATCTCAAGCACGACCCAGGACTGACTGCGTCAGAATCCGCATTTCAACAAGATCCCCAGTGATTCTGCATTAAGGTCTCAGAAGCACTGGCCTGTCCTGCAGATTTGTAAGTTACTTGTCTTTTTTGAAACAACGTCTCTCTCAGTCACCCAGGCCTGAGTGCAGTGGCGTGATCATAGCTCACCGCAGCCTGAAACTCCTGGGCTCAAGCAATCCTCCTGCCTCAGCCTCCAGAGTCACTGGGATTACAGGCATGAGCCACTATGCCCAGTCACTTTTCCGTTTGATGGAAAGTTGGACTTATACTTGCTAATCTCATTCTCACTCCAATAAAAAATTAGCAATTAAAGGAAACCATTCATTCAATAAACCTTTGTGTGCCTTCTTGTGCTAGAAACTTTGTTCCAGTCACATGCTAAATATATACAAGTACCCAAAGAGAGTTTTGGATATTCAGTAGTTCTAGTGACTTCATACTGAAGGCTCTGAGTCCTAAGGGTCCAACAGATTTGTAATACTCAGGAGTGTCTCCTTCATCAAGTAGCAAACCTGAGTCATCCCCAGAAGTGGGGTAAATTTGTTAGAAACTCCTATGGGCCAGAAACAGTGACTCACGCTTGTAATCCCAGTACTTTGGGAGGCCGAAGCAGGTGGATCACCTGAGGTTAGGAGTTTGAGACCAGCCTGGCAGACATCTGGTCTCTACTAAAAATACAAAAAAACAAAAACCAACAAACAAACAAAAAATAGCTGGGCGTGGTAGCTGGTGCCTGTAATCCTAGCTACTTGGGAGGCTGAGGCAGGAGAATCACTTGAACCCTGGAGGCAGAGGTTGCAGTGAGCTGAGACTTCTCCATTGCACTCCAGCCCGGGCAACAAGAGTGAACCTCCATCACAAACAAACAAACAAACAAAAGATCTCCTGTGGACACAAAGTGATGCCCAGGGAAGGTGGAACTCTGTCCTGTAACAATGTTAGTTTTGCATTTGGTGTCCTCCTGTGCTAAAGTCTGTCTATTCAGCAATCTATTTGACGTTTCAACCTCTGTGTCTAACAGGCTTCTTAATAATAAACATTCAGAAGTGTTAACTTTCTCCCACAAATCTGTTTTCCCCCAATCTTCTTCTTCTTCATAAATGACACTACCATCTGCCATGTTAATAAGCCAAGACTTAAAACTCATTCTGAAGTCTTCAGCTGTCCTACCCACTACATGTAATCCAGGAGCACTCCCTGTCCATTCCACCTTCAGACTAGGATGCTGGCTATGTCCCCGTTGGGTTGTCTCCATGGGCACTATCGGCTATCTTGCCTGGGGGACTGTGCTGGCCACCTATGGGGTCTTCCTACCTCCACCCTTGCTCGTGTCCAAGCTCATCTCCATACAGCAGCCAGAAAGGTCTTAGACAAATGTCAGTCTCTCCATGTCGTTCCTCTGCTTGAAACTTTAATGATTTCTTATTTATCTTCAAATAAACCTGAAACGATCAGGCTCTGTTTGATTGGTCCTGTTGTTTCTTCCTCTTCCCCTGTTGCCCACCGTCCTCCACCAAACTGACTTTTTGATTATTCTTTCAACATCCTCGTCTCTTTTCTGCCTCAGAATCTTTGCATCTATTCCTTAGAATGGTCTAGAACTGTCTAGAATGGTCTGCCTGACTCTTCACATGGTTGCCTTTTGATCTTTCAGAGCTCAGAGTAATTGTGTTGACTTAGAGAGGCCTTCCCTGAAGTTCAACTAGCAGGCAACCCCAGCATTCTGATGTACTCCATGGTTCTGATGACCACCGCCAATCACATGAAGGGCTGAGACTTCATCTTTCTTATTCATCTCTATTTGCCCAGCACATGGTGTGCTCCATACAAATATGTGACTGAATGGAAGTATAGTTCTAGATTTGTGTGGCTTGATAATTTTTTCCCTTTTTCAGTGTAAATCTGAAATATTTTTAAATTCAATTAACCAACTTTTAGAAGACTTCTGCTATGCAGTTAACAGAGATTATTAACACAGGCATACACATTCTACCTCTATACTTCATACAGGTAAAACAAGGAGCCAGATGGAATTTGAATGTAGGTGCCCCTAGCCAGCTGATCATATGGAGGACAGAGCTCATGCCCAACACCCAGCAGTCTCTGCAGTGTAGTCAAACTTGCCTCCAGGATCCACTCAGACAGCACTGTAGCCACTTGAGTAGAGAGGAGTCTCCTGAATGGGCCTCTCTGGTTGTAGTGGAGGTAAGAGAGCCATCTGAGTCCCTACACCCTGACAGGAAGTACAGGTGAATCCTTACTTAAACGTAGAGAAGATCACTCCACTTTCCTTAAGTGGTTTCGATTGTTGGTTCCTTTTGAGCTCTAAGGAATTGGGTAACTTTTTAAAAAACTATAAACTACCTGTTTCCATGTCCAACACAATACTGAAGAGTCTCATACTTGGTGGAGTATAAGTGTGGCTGGTAGAATAATTCCAGTAACATCTGCATCCTAATCCCCACCCCCGTCCCAATCTGCGAATAGGATCCCTTGCAAGGCAGACATGGGAGATCGGGAGGTGATCCTGGATTCTCTGGTGGTCCCAGTGTCATCACAAGGACTCAATGTCATCCCAAGGGTCTCTAAAGAAGTCAGAGAAGGAGAAGTAATGACAAAAGCAGAGTGTCAGAGCCAGATTGCGGCTTGAAGATGTTACACTGCTGGTTTTAAAGACGGAAGGAAGTCATGAGCCAAGGAAAGCTACAGTTTTCCTTGATGACCCTCCCACCTTAGCCTCCTGAGTAGCTGGGACTACAGGTCCCAGCTCACTTGAGCCTGGGATATTGAGGCTGCAGTGAGCCATGACTGTACCACTGAACTCTAGCCTGGGAAACAGAGTGAGGCTCATAAAACGAAAAAAAAAAAAAAAATGACCATTTTATGTGGTTTTTTAGAAGACAATGAAGAATCTCTCTATGGGACTTGATTCCTGTTTTCTTCCTGGAAAATGGTGTGGAGTGATAGATGGATGGTTTATTGCAGTTAGAAAAAACTGCTCCTGCTTTCCTACCGTATTGCGAGCATGGCTGTGGAAAGGGGAATTCTCAGCAAGCATCAGAGCTCAGTGCTTATGATACAATGAGAGACATAGTTGACATTTAAATATTTTTCATTTTAAACCACCCTGTAAGCATTCACTAATTAAGCCT